GCCATCCACTTATTCCCAGAAGTGGATGCAGGGAAAGGGCCTAAAAGGTCAAGACCAAGTCGAAAGAATGGATCAAAGGGAATGTCAAGTGGTTAGAGGAACCCGGCAGGACTCATAGAAGGTTTTTTCCGGTGTTCACACTGGTCGCATGAGGCGACGTAGCTGCAGACCGAGCGATAAAGCTGGGCCAATAAAATCGACGCTGTACACGGTCATACCTCCAAGACGGTCTGAGATTACCGGCAGTGGGAGCGTCATGGAGCTGGCCGATCACGCTCGCACGTAAGTGGGAAGGTACCACAAGGAGCAGTTCGTTTCCATCAGGGCGGACGTTGTAACGGTACAATGTGCCATCCTTAAGCATGAATAATCGAGTAAACAGATCGGGTGCCACAGAATAAAGCTTCTAGATGATCACACGTAAGGCAGGATCTGGGGGCTGTTCCAGACGGATGTTGATTAAAGCAGAGAGAGACAGCACACATGGCGCCTCAGGTGGGTCCACTGAATTCCGAGATAAGCAGTCAGTGTCATTGTGTAAACGGCCAGATTTGTAGGACACCGAGTAGTGATACTCTTGGAACCGTAGTGCCCATCGACCAAGGCACCCAGTGGGGTCTTTCAAGGACGAGAGCCAGCAAAGTGCGTGGTGATTGGTTGTGACGGTGAAATAACGACCATGTAACTAGGGCCGAAATTTCACTACCGCCCAAATGAGAGCAAAGCATTTCCTTTCGGTGATTGAGTAGTTCCTTTCCGCTTGCGAGAGGAGACGGCTGGCATAGGCGATAATGCGGGTGCAGCCGCTTTGATGCTAGACTAAAACAGCACATATTCCGTGGCCGCTGGCATCGGTGCGGACTTCTGTAGGCGCGGCAATGTCGAAATGGGCCAGAACAGGTGGTTTTGTTAGCAATGCGATAAGTATAAAGAACGCCGTAGCCTGCGCAGCACCCCATGTGAATGAGACATCTTTTCTCAGTAAGTCTGTGAGAGGACGGGCGACTTCTGCAGATTTGTTCACAGAATGTCGAAAGTACGAGCAGAGACCGAGAAAGCTGCGGACTTCCTTAGTGCAGGTCAGAACGAGGAAGTTCGGCACGACTTGCACTTTTATTGAGATCAGGGTGTACACCAGAGGAGTTGACAAGGTGGCCCAACATGGTTAGTTGCTGGCGTCCGAAGTGACACTTTGACGAGTTCAGTTAGAGACCGGCATTGTGAAATACAGCCAGTATTGAGGAAAGGCGATCGAGGAGAGTCTCAAAGGTCGGAGGAAAGACGATAACGTCGTCAAGGTAACATAGACAAACAGACCATTTGAACCCACACAAAAAAGAGTCCATCATCCGCTCAAAGGTGGCCGGAGCCTTGCATAACCCGAAGGGCATGACCTTAAACTGGTAAGGACCATCGGGAGTGACAAAAGCGGCCTTTCCGCGGTCCATGTCGTTCACAGCGATTCGCCAGTACCCTGACCTTAGACCAATAAAAGAAAAATACTTAGCGCCGTGAGGACAATCCAAGACGTCGTCTATGCGTGGTAGCGGGTAGATGTCTTTTTTAGTGATCTTGTTCAGATGTCGGTAGTCAACACTGAATCGCCAAGTGTTGTCCTTCTTTTTGACAAGAAATACAGGGGAAGCACGTGGACTACATGATCGTTCAATTATGTCTTTGGCGAGCATTTTGTCGACTTCTGCTTGATTATGTGACGCTCAGTTGGAGATATGCAGTATGGCCGTTGATGAACAGGGGAGGCATCACCGGTGTCAATGCGGTGCTTTACAGCACAGTTACGACCTAGCAGACGATCACAAAAGCCAAATACGTCCCAGATTGACTCAAGGACGCAAAGGAGTGCATCAGCTTGATGCGGCAAAACGTTTGACGCGATCATTTTTCCAACGTCAGGAGATGGGCTTGCTTGCGAAGATCGAGCATGTATGTAGCTGGAGTGTCCAGCATCGTTGGAAGACAGAGCTGAGATGATGCATTCGTCAGAGGGAGTCAGCATGACGAGGGCAATTCCATGCGGGAAAACTTGTGAACACAGAGCACACAGGAATGCAGGCGCGATTTGCACGTAACTGAATAACAGTGTGTGGTAAGGTAACATCGTGAGTAAAAAGAATTTATGTGATGGGCACGACCACATAGTCTCTATCGGATACAGGTGGCGAGGGCATTGCGGTGATGCAGGCCACAGTTTGCGGTGACAAACAGACATGTTCAGCAGAGCACATAAGAGCTTGGGGTGGACTAGGCAGATCAATCAGACGGTAAGTCAAGTTGCACAGTATCAGCTGAACAGTCGATGAGGGCGGAATGAGTGGACAAAAAGTCAAGACCGAGGATCACATCATTGGTGCAGTGCGAGAGAACAGTGAAGAGAACTGAAGTTTGACTGCCGGCAATAGTAACGCGTGCAGTACAGAGGCCAATAACAGCAGCTGTACCACCATCAGCAACAGTGAAGGAGCTTGAGTAAGGACTTTCTTTAAGCAGTCACCAATGTGCAAGCTCATCACAGAAAAATGGGCGCCAGTGTATACCAACGTTTTAACAGATAAACCGTCCACTTCAACGTCGATCAGGTTCTGATCGGTCGTGGAGCATAAACAGAGGAATTGGTGAGCAAGTCGTATCAGCAGTGTCAGCTCCACGAGCTGCAGCCGTTAGTTTTATGAAAAAAAAAAAAAAAAAAAAAAACGCCGAGCAGAGAACGGGGAACGAGGTGGCGGCGGAGACCGGGAAAATCTATGTCAAGGTGAAGGTGAGCGACTATACTGGGCAGTGGTCGTAGTGGTTGGGTCGTAATTAGTTGAACCATCACGCCGTGATGGTTCCTGGCGATAGAGATGGACTGGTCAGTAGAGGTTGGGAAAGGTTGGGTTTGCCCGATACGGTAAGGTCCACGTGCTTCGGCAATGACGGGAAATGTGTCCCACTTGTTCACATCGAAACTAAATCATCCTGTCGTGAGGTGTCCTCCACGCATTTGGGTCACAGTTATGTGGAGCAGGGCGGTGATAATGCTGTGGGTGGCTCGAGGTAGACGAACTCACAGCGTCAGGGCAGCGCACAGGACAGACAGTGTGAATACCCTGTTGGCTAGTTCTTGGCAAAAAACGGTCTGCATTAGCCATATAGTCAGCTGAATATCACTTGGTGCCAGTGCCCTCCAGGGTGCGGGTGATATGACTTCGATTTCAAGGCGTACAGTTCTCGTGATATCACCGGAGCGTGAATTGGCCTGGCTTGCTACACAGAGATCCTCACAAGTTGACGTCGGAGCAGTGTTGGGAAGGCGCATAAAGTGGTAAGCAATGCGACAGCTTTTAGCCTCTTGAAAGCATTGGCCCTTCAAGATAACATCTTGAACAGTGGAACAGCTTTTGCACACAAGGAGGTTAAATGCATCGTCTGCGACGCCCTTGAGCCCGTGTGCTACCTTGTCGGCTTCAGCCATGGTTGGGTCAACTTTATGGCAAAGGGTCAGCACATCTTGTATATACGCGAGGTAAGACTCCGTGGACATCTGAACACGTGTGCCAAGTCTTTTCCTAGCGGCGTGCTTGCAACCGGCAGATTGACCAAACAACTCGCGTAACTTGGTCTTGTATATGTCCCAGCTTGTGATCGCATCCAAAGTGTTATCAAACCACCCCTTGGCCATTCCCTGCAAATAAAAGATGATGTTTGCCAGCATCAAAGTTGAGTCCCACCTGAGATTTTCACTGACGAGCTCGTAGAGTTTAAGCCAGTCATTTACGTCCTTGCCGTCCGTTCCTGAAAAGTTGCCGGTATCGCGGGGTGGAGTGGCCACGAGAAAAACAAGGATAGGCGTCGTCGTTGATGCATTGGGTGCGGCAGTTGCTGAAGCGTTACCGCCGGTGGACATGTTGGAAGCAGTGACTAGGCGTCCGCTGCGTAACTCCGTCGTGCATTGTAACCCAGCACCTTCCACCAAAATGTTGTGTGAAGGCACATGGGAAACGAGGCGTTTTAAGATATATTTACACAGCGCCAATGCGCAAGCCAAGATGGAGAACAAGAGTGCCCTCTACACCAAAATCAAGTTGTCTTCCTCTTCCTCGGTGCCTATCTCTCTGCTTAAGTGGGACATTGTCTCATAACAATATATCGAACTATTTCGCGATCCCCTTCAGGTTCGATATATCTGGGATTGTCTGTACACACTTTTTTGTTAAATATTTGCATTCTACAGTTAATGTGGAGCAATACAAGCCATTAATGACTCATTATCAGAAAAGTTATGTGAGAGAAAAAGCGTGCCCAAAAAGAGCCATATTTTACACATTGGCATGGTATGAAATGAAAACTGTGCAACTTACTACAAAACTAACATATTACAGCGAAATTTGTAACTCATAACAAACTTCACTTCAAAAAGCATACTTTGATTGATGACATGGTGAACACTTCATAAGTTACCTTCATTGCGGTACACAAGTATCATAGAAAAAAGCAAAATAGAGGTGGGAAGGAGGTTGCTAAAAGACATCTTGTCCCATAGAAATGCGTGCACATAACAAGTACCACTATGTTCCCTGACATCTAAAAACCTTACCGGAAGCTATGCTGGGCTATGAAGTTGCTGCAGCCTTAAGAAATAAACACTACAACATAATTTGACAAGTTGCCCCGGGTCATATTTATGAGACCTTATGTTGAATCAAATGAAATCCTGGGGCCTGCTTCAGTTTGTATCATTCAGATCCTAATTTAAAGAATGATACTGTGCACTAGGAGACTACCAATGAAAGTAGTTCCACCAATTCACAAAACAGGGCTACAAAGTTTCAATGGTTGAACTCTAGTTTTAATGTTTAAGTGCCTTGTTAGTTTAAATTCAAACATCAGTCCCATAACTTACAAAAATAAAGTTCCTGGTAATAGCAAACCTACCACTGACCACACCAACAAGTTATTTCCCCTGCCCTAAGACACACAAAGGATTCACTGTGCTTACAAACCCTGCAAGGACGAAGTCTTCGGATGAGTCCACTGCTGACAGCACACCAGCTCTTGAATACTCCAGTTCGTAAAGTCGTCCAATGCGATTCTGGTAAGATTTTCACAGAAATTCATGTTAGCGACACACCCTTACACGGTTGAACGGAAGCTATAGAAGCTGTGAAATTATGTTCAATTTAATGGGAGTGCCACTTACTGAGAGGCATAAAGGGGTGCAGAATTCAAGCAGAAAATATTAGAGACAGTTGTTACATTTAGGCAGTGATTCTATTTAAGCAATTACCATTTACTGAAAGTCTACTGTCATAAGATATCGTTCCGGTTTTAAAGCTCATGGATTATTGCGTGAAATGTCTCAAAGCAAGCTAAGTCCATGGTAGGTTTCACAGTAAAAGACTCAAAAAAATTTTTTTTAATTTACAAACAGATCTTGGGCAAGTTTATTTCAGTTATCTTAGTTCATCTTAATGCTCATACAGTTGAAACACACATGAATGAAATTGTGCAAGAACGAAATCCTTACAACAACAACAAGATATTTTCCTGCGCCCACTAAACGCACTTGAAGTTTCTCAGGAACAAAATGTATCTAAACTGCTATCTCGCAACAACATGTGTTGGCGGCACATTTGCATGCGCAAAGCGAGCATACTCCGAAATGCAGTCAGATGTCTTTGCTTCATACTCAAGCTGTATGAAGCACAATCATATTGTGTTTTTGTGGACGTTGCCATTCTTGTGTACAAAATCGACCACGTGTCGGAAGCAGTCAGACACACCGGACACTGTCATTGCCTCTATTCTGTTTGCTTATAGTGCTTTTCTTTCATGGCAGGTCATTGCTCAGCATTGTCAGGCTGCCATGCACAAGTGGTTTTCCTTACACATGTCAAGTTCCTCTTGCCGTTTGAAATATGGGTCTCGGACCCATTTTGGGGATGTCTCGCGACCGCCACAGAGTGATGAAAGAGGAATTGGTGAGAAGGCTACATCCATACCCTGTTTCATCTGCTCACTTTCATCTATAGCTGCATTTTTTTTTGCAGTGTGTCACCACGTCCCGTGATTACCCCACCATTTAACCTCGCTGTACTCTTTGCACTACTTTTGCCTGGTTGATGTTCTAAACACCACGCACAAATGGAACGGGCATACATAGTACAAAAGAACAGGATAGGTGCTGCGTTACGCGTCTTCGTTTAATTCGCGCCAAAAGTATCGTCAGTTATGAGCTAATACCAACTAAGCTCAAACCCGAATTCTACTAGACACAGGTAGGCTGCTGCAGTGGGCTTGCCACTAGTACAGTTGGGGCTACATGTGGCTATGCGATTCCGCTTTGAGTATACTATGTGCCGTTCGTGTGGTGCTGCTTTAGTGAACACTGCATTGCAAAGGAGTATCTATGGGTTCACTATACGGCTACGGTCAACAGAGCAAATTAACTGAATCTTGGCACTAAAATTTCATTTTGATGACCATTTCCTTACTTTCATAAAATATTTTGTAATAACGAAATTCTCGCAACGGTGCAATTTTTAAGTTTCCTTACCAATTTCAGTACTGTGGTGTTTGGTTATAATTAAATTTGCACACACAAATGAAGACAGAATAGAGACTGTTTTCCTTTGCTGTGCTATATGTTACATATACATAACATGTGAACGTAGCAGTGTTACAAACCAATTTCTGGACCTAGGTCACGGTTAAAATTACACTACTTTCCCCTACACAATTTTCTTACTACCTTACATTTCAGCACATACTTAAAAAAGTAAAGCCTATCATAGTGCAGTCTATTAATGGAAAAAATTTCACTACACTTCACTTCATCACATGCAGACGTAGTGGCACAGAAGTTGTTAGCGTCTCTCAAAATTTGTATGAAAAAATTTTGAAGGATTTTGAATAAGAATTATGAAAGACAGCACATGGGAACAGATAGCATTCTGGTACAGCAAGAGGGTTGCCTCACAGTTGAGAAAATGTCATCAGCAGAAACATGTCTGGCAATGTAGGCGGCAAAGAGAGTCAAGTACATAAACGGTCAGAGCGCCAAAAAAGGTGTATTTGATAGTGGTGATGGAAAGAAAGATGGCTCTGGATAACTGCTGAAAGGATAAAGATGAAATGAGCAAAGGTACACTCTTAAGATAATTCAAGGGGATGTGCTTTTCTGTTTGAAGTGAGGTCAGATTGACTGAGTAAGCATAGTAATAGTTCTACCCCTTTATTCAAGACACTGATGTAACAGATAATTGGGTACAAGAAGCACAGATGGCCTACATTAAAATACGGGTTGATAAGAAAATGTATACATGGTATCCTGCTTATATGAGACACCTCTTATAAAAGACGAGAATCGCTTTCCGATGCACGTCTCCTATGAAGAGGTTCAACTGTACAACCGAGACTCAGTGAAGAATACAGATGCTGTGGGAGAAAAGGAAACAACATAGCATGTCTCTCTGAAAGTGAACCACATCCACCCCGGTGCGTTTTAGGGCGCTAGCTTTAGGCTGAACACTTAGGCTTTGAGTACAACATTGGAAAGGTAAACTGGTCGGTGATAGGAATAAGTAAAGATGACTGAGAGATTGGTAGCAGAATAGCTGGCAGATAACAAAAAAAAAAAAGAGCAAGTAAACTAACGTTAACCTGCACTAAAGCTCAGAAAGTGGGGTTGTGAACTTATAAAGCTTTCTTTGTAGAAAGAGAACCTTGATTCTGCTGAACAGGTTTATGCCATAAATAATGATAACAATTATAACTACAATAAACGCTTAAGCTTGGTGGAGTGCAGGTCACCACTCCTTCATAAAGAGTTGCTCTTTCATCCACCCATCCACAGTCATAAAAAAAAACATCGCATTGTCCCTTGCGCACTCACTTAAGATCACCCAAAAGCGAAAAACACTTTCATTTTCTCCATCGATTGCATTGATCTACACGACTTTGAAAGATTGAGGTATCATGTTTCGCTTCTGCTATATTCTGGTGACATGCAAATGAAGACAGTTCCATTTTTATTTAAAGACAAATCTACTTTCGGATGTATTTAGGAATGTCACCCTCAGGGACGTCGCGTCGATTATTCACATCTTTCACTGATCGACGACGAGTGAGAAGTGGAAGTTACCCTACACCTGACATGAAAATTGTATCACTGCAATATTACCCCACGCTGCCAGAAAAATGCCAAAAATGCCCTACAAGTAGGGTAATAACCTTACCATTGGCAACCCTGATACATAGACACAAACATATCTAGGTAATGACGACCCCATATGGTTTTAAAATGACAAAAACTTTGGTATACACCAATGTCTATGCATTTCACTAAAAGCCATATGAATAAAGTTTTTGTGCCCAAAGAGCCACTGATACCTGGTGTAATTCCAAAGCTAACTTTTCTGTCAGATAGTTCTATACCTAAACCAAGTATGTTGAATTTTTAGATGATGGGATCCACGCAACACAGAAGCTCTTTATGAGTCAGAAAAGTGTGTTGATCTCCCTTCTCAGCAATAAACCTACACCAAAAAATCACCCACAAATTGAATAAATGTTCTTCATAAGTGTTGCCTGAGTAATGCATATAAACAGCATGTCTTCGGCTGCAGGAAGTAAGTAAGAGCGCAAAAGAAAAGGACGAGCCAACCTTCCAGTTGTGCCTGAGCAGAGACTCCCTCTGCACGTGCTCCCTGAAGTGGTGCTTCCAGTTAGTGTTTCTTGCTGCCACGGCCACATCCGTGAATCCCATGCGATGGCAATGCCGATGCCACAACAGCCTGCTCTCTGCCACACTCCTCCAGTCCCGGCTCACCTGAAAAAGAAGAGCTGCGCTAAACAGTTGCCACCTAAGAATACAAAATCTTGAACTCTTCAACACGGGGTGCTCAAATTTGCGGTCTGTCTCGGCTCACACTTAGGGGGACATGCTACTTGAAAAATAAGTTTCTTTATTCTGTAGCCTAGGGAAATTAAATTTTCGCTGTATACACCAGCTTTTATGCTCATTTTAAGTACATAATCAGTTTTACAGTAAATCATTTTTTTCTTTTTTGTTGTTCCATGATAAGTTGTAAAATAGTTCTTTTTGTTTCCCACTTTTTTTCCAATAAGCTTTTATGGTTCAAAGCCATTAATGCCTTAAATTGCTCTGCATTAACTGTAGAATGCAAATAATTCGCCAGAAAGTGCATATAAGACAGTTTATAGGACAAGAAAGAGTGTCATGTGACAAGTCTTAGGATGGTCAGACGATACTGATTGCTTACTTTAGGTTCATAATAGTTATACAGGCGATATCAAGTTTTAAAAATATATTTACTCTCTTCACTTGTTAAGGAATATGTCAGAAAACTTTCGTCCCCATCAGGCTATCACAAGTACCAAGAACATGATGTCAAAACTCAAGAAGTTGCCCAAAATTGTATCTTAAAAAAAAAAACGCATTATAAAAGTGACATTGAATTTACACGGCAAAGACACGTGCTTTAAATGATTTCTTCCATCATAAAAGCTCGTTAATCACGGTTGAGCATAAGGCTTTGGTCAACTACTCATGAAAAATGCAACAGCTAGCAACCAGATGGCAACTTCCAGGAGACTTTAGACAAAGAGCTCTTTTGGTTTTTAGTAGCCAACTTGTGCTTTTTAAATTCAATATTAACCCACTTCGAGTTTATTTACTATCTTGATTTTTTTTTACATGAAAGTACAGAAACTAAAGTTGTGAAAGCATATAAAAACATGGTATGATATTTCTCAAAAAAACTTTTCACACTTTTTCCTAACAAGTGTGGTCAGTCATGAGCTACAAAGATGTGAGTAATCTTGAGCACCTTCTTGATGAGGCCTCTCAAATGGTCACCATGTGTTAAAGCATAACTGCGGAACAATAACTCTACATCTCCCTAGGTGACGGTGTGTACAACTGTACACATCAACTTCAGAGGCGCTTCTGCACCCCATGTTTCTTCAGGTGGCTTGACAGGCAGTGAGCACATTTACGCAGGTTTCCTGAATGGTCAAATCATCAGTCATGTAGCTTCATTGTGCTGCATATTCCTGCAAGGGAATATGCAGCACAATGATAGTGTCCGCTCAAGACACTATCATGTTCAATGACCATTGCATTCTAGGACCAATGTAAAGACTATATTTTTTCTTTACTTAAAATAAACACAACCAAAAAACAAATAGTACATAAATATGGGCCTATTATTTTATCCTTTCAAATTTTAGCTGACTGATAGCAGAATAATTAAACATTTTTAAATGCTAATTAACATTATTACTAAAAATCATTCCAAACAACTCTTTTTTTTTTTTCTTGGAATGTAATACTGAGTGCCTTAGAATCCTGCCATGCAAATTTGATGCATTTGCAGACAGTGGATCACAATTCATGTCTGAAGAGGATATTTCAGATTTGGCATGCAGAATTCAGTCATGCTGGAGAACAGTATCAATACTATTTTCGGCACCTGACATCAAACTGCCTATTTAAAATAATGCGAAAAACAACTTATTTCAAGTGACTGGCATTTCACTCAAGTCTTTCCTTGCTCCACTCCTACCACATTCACGGTACTGGCACTTGCAGAAGACTAAATTTTGTGACTGTGGCCCACTAATTGAAGTGAGTTTAAGTCCCCTATGTCACGCCCCTACGTCGCGCCCAGATGCCGGCACTGGTGGAATCGCAAAGAAACAAAATAAAAGCTCTTGTGCTTGGCTGCCGCCTGTCAAGCAGTGTGGGGAAGACAGGGAACAACTCGAACTCCCCGTCTTCTCTATTTTTCTCTTCTTCTTTAGCATCACCCTGCAAACCAGCTGGCATTTTTGGGAAACAATAAACAGTTCCTAACCAGACTTTGTAATTCTCGGTTTCTCCTGGACACGCGCTCTGCAGAGACCTCTGCCTTAACCATTTTGTATAAGCACAGATATTCTTGCCGCACTATTCCTAGGCAGTCTTGGACTAGTGTAGCTCATCCACTTGAGATACCACCACGAGCATTTTAAGCAACACACAATAAACTTCATTATGGCAATGTGACTAAGTATGCAGCTCAATTCTCTGCTTAACACCAAAAACTCACTTTCTGGTGGAGATATATTCAACATAATATCTTTTTAAAATACAAGAATTATGAGGAGAGAAATCCTTGAAATATCAAAATGTTGAATTGGTTAAAAACAGTCAACCAAAATAATTCCCACATCTGCAGGCCACAAACTTAATTTATTAAAGTTTGACCTAAATAAACGAGCCCTGCAAACTTAAATAAAGGGGTCCTGCAACACTTTTGAGCATGGTCATAAAATGCTGCTTATTAGCAGCCAAGAAAAACATTTATGAGCAGCGAAACCAGCTAAAAATAGCTCGCTCGTCTCTCGACAAATGATGCCGTAAGCATCACTGCATCATTTGGGCTGATTTAGGCATATTGAGCTGGATATCTACCACATCCGCTGATGGAAGCCCCTTAGTGGCAGCATAGATAGATATGTGGGGTTTAACGTCCCAAATTAGTGGCAGCATCGCATTCGTTAGAGCTATAATTACACCAGTTCACTTTTGACCCCATTGAAAGTGTTAAAAAAAAAGCGCTCAAGGTCACAACACATGCCGACATATGGATGCAGCCTCTCGCCCCTTGTGATTACCCCAGTGAATTTTTCAGTGCGCTCACTGGGGCCAAAGCATTTGATGCATGCAGCAAATCTAGGTGACTCACTGCTCATGCTCAACATATTCTAAAATCTTGCCAATTCATGAGGCAGGAAGTTTTCATTACCTGAAGTTCTTCAATGTGCACCCAAGTCACAGTACATGAGCATTTATGAATCTCACCCTAATCATAATGATACTGCAATGACTGTGAATAAAACCCATATACTTGGCAGTACGTCGCTCTAGCACAGGTGCTCTTTTAGAAGGTAAAGAAAATGTGGTCCAAAGCTAAAAATGCAATCAAATTACTGAGCCACACAGCAAGGGTCATTACAGCACAAGACTGCCATGTGTGCCCAGCTTGAGGCATGCAATATGTGAGAGCCTTATTTAGAAGAAAGAGCAGGCTTTATAAGAGGAACAGACAATGAATCCAACTGCTCATGCCCCATTGCATGTACTCTAGTGTTCTGCTGCTTTGCTTCCTTGTGCTGCCTCATATAGAAGCAACACAGGCATATGTTTCAATAGGGTGCATGCATCCAAGACAAAATGGCAGGGTAAGTACCTAGATGGAGTTAGATCTATAGCTTTACCCTTCAGTTACAAGGCCATGTGCGGCTACATCTGCGGGAGGACATTTGTCAGGTTATAGAATGACAATTCGCAACAGCTAGGCATAGTCACAGAAGTGCACCGATCCCGGAGGTACTGCACGACTGAATGGCACTTTACCGGTGAGATTAATTAAGCAACTACACCACACCAAAAACTTCAGGTCTGCATTATTAAATTAATTGCACTTATTACGATTCCCCATGATGAGGAATGCTGTGTGGCTTGCCATTTTATCGTGTAGTCTTGCAGTTAACAGCACAAGCAACCGGCATGCCTGTGGAGGTAGTTTTGATGAGCTACACACAAAGCTATTTCAGCATTATATTTATGAGTTTAATATGGGAAACTGAATATATTCGGAGATCTTGTGATGGCAAGATGTGCTCAGACCTCATGGGACACAGTGACACATGATGGAGGTCACTGTGTAAGAAATTCTAAAGAATGCTTCAGGTTAAAAAACAACTTTGTAAATAACGAAAGCAGTGGACTTTGAATGAAAACCATGTTATAACAGCGGCCATTCAACAATAGCTAACAGCAAGACAACACTAGCCAACACTATCCAGCATTGGCCTTCTTGTAGATCGATTCACAGGTGTTCCTATGTTAGAAGCAGTGTTGACATTTATTTAGCTGTTTAAAATTTTTATTAAACTTAATGTCTCCTAGTGCAGTGAATGATTCCCATATGTGATTGCACACAAGACCTTAATCGTAATGTAAACATGAGATTACTTTTTTTAAAGTGAAAGCCTCAAAAGCACGTGAGCATGAGAAATAGGTTTCCACTTCATCACTTTTGCATGAGCAGCAATACAGCAGTGGTGTCAACAAGGGTGAAGCGTGGGAATCGCACTTGCTTACTGTCTGGGCCGGGCCGATTTTGGCTAGTTCTGCTTGCTAGGCAGCGACTTCTTGCGCTGATGTCTTATTTTGAAAACTCCTTCACACAGTGTCTACATGCTGCCATGCGGGCTCAGAGCTCCATTCAACATAGCAATGGGTCCAACTTGGCATGCAACTCACATTCTCAGAGAGTTCTAAGGATCCCCGCGTAATTCTGTTTAGCTCAGTTTTCTTGAAAATTATCGTAAAAACTTTTCTGCCCTTCAACATGATTTAATTAAGAAGTAAACTGCATCTTTCATATGCAACCTATTTTATTCAGTCTGGTCTAGCAGTTTTCCCATTAGTGGCCATTAGGACACTCCATCCTTTCATACGTGCATTTAAGTGCATCAGATCAAAATCAGAGCATCATAGTCATAGAATCATAGTTTAGGTCCACGTTCACTTCACTGCAATTTCATTCTTGTTAGCTTCAGTTGTTCAAAACAATAAGCTACTGTAAGAAACATCATCACAATGATAAGTGTGGATAATGTGTGCTTGATAGACACTTTACAAGTTGAATGAGCAAACATGAGGATTCTTTCTCATTATTGACGATAATGTTTGACATCATTTTACCTGAGTTATGTTTGAACATGCCTTGAGACTGCAATTCTACATGCATACAAAACGAAAGACACTAGACACAGAAAATCGTCAAATAATGAGTGCTCTGATATTATCAGGCGAATCAGCATAGATGAGCCTCATTTTGTGCCGAGCTGGTACCATCACTTTTTTTAGTTGATTTGATCAGATTTTGTTTGGGCTTTGCCACAATTCCAAAATGAAATGCAATTTGATTTTAAGCTGAACTTTCCAAAGCTGTACAACTCCAATATGAGAAAATTGAAGTAAGACTCATTCTAACAACTTGCTTTCACAGAGCAAAATTAGTTGTAAGTAGTAATTAAAAAGTCCAGCGCCACTTCTAAGGTCCTGTTCAAGAGTGTTTTATGCTCAGGTCTAGAAAAGAGAGCATCACACTGAATGTTTGGGCGATGCTGAAAAATGCAACATAATCCATGCCTTACTTCCACTAACATACTGTCACATGGTCATGACGGCGACGACGGCAACAGTCGGCGAGTCAAAGATGAATCTGTTCCCAAGGAGAACAGTGCAAAAGATGGGACGGAGAAAGATTGAATATGTTGTTTCCCTCAGTATCATGTACCAACTGGCCCTTCAAAAAACCCTTCTGCAATAAAACTTCATTTGGCTGAACTGGTGGTCGGGAAGCTGACGGTCAGACTAAAGCAATACACACTGGCACTGACAGTGGCCGATAGAGCGTTGGCCGTGAATCAACTGATCTACGCCAAGGCATGTCGGCATTTATACGTGCGGCATTGAACATTGGAGGATTATCACTAATAACTGTGTTTGTTCTATAATCAACCAAGCAGCCCGCATTTGCACACTAAAAAATTATCACAAGATTATCTCGAATACCTCGGACATTCTGGCCTAGTTTCCACGAGACATTGCACAACATCTAATTGTGCAAGGGGCTGGCAACACAAAAAACAACAAGAAAAGAGCACACGTGGCAATATAGTACTAGATGAAACAATTTAAAAAAAAAGGCTGCATTAGCTATTTTTGTTTTCTTATTCATAGATACTTTTTCTCAATACTTGCCGCACACTTCTCCTAGCAAGAAATGGTATAATATCCTTGCAAGCAAATACAGTTACTTAGTTCTTTTTTCAAATGCATAGGTTTCTTTGCTTGCTGGTTTTTCTACCTTGATGACCATGTTTATTGCCAAATGCCAACTCCTGGAGATGCACATGCACGCTGGTGGCCGAAAGCTTTGATATTTTATGGTGCACATACATACAAAAACCACTATATGCCGTCTAGTTAACCTTTTCAGAGTATACACTTCTTACCTAAACAACACATTTCACTTCCATATACATTATCTTTCTGACGTTTCTCACTATTCCTTGCTGGGTAAAACTCGGGGAAAAAATGTCCTGTATTCATCAGTGGCCTTGCTGTTAAATGGCATGTCTCTGCATGTTACACAGCTGAAGCATCTAGTATACTAATTGCCTAAACCATAAAATGTCAGAATATCTTGGTCTTTGTGGAAGCAGATCAACCACACACTGAAAATCTCACCTGAGCACATCTGCACAGATCAACAACGTCGAGGTGCTTAAAGATGTTGACAGCCACTTCAGAAGGAATGTAGCTATCGAAGAATGGAATTTCATTAATTTCATCCTGAAAAAACGCAGAACAAACATTAATACGTCTTGAAACCATACAAGGTTTAGTGAGCACACCTTACCTCAGAAAAATGAGTTTTCACAATTCCCACAAAGAAGATGAAAGATCAAGTAAACCACCCCAGGGTCTAAAAATTGTAATGAAGAGAAACATGTGCACTTTTGCTATGTGAACATGCTACCACAAGAATTTTGTGAATACATTCAATAATAAGGAAGTTACATTGGTTAGAACATAGTACATTTCAACTGGCTTCAAACTTCCACGTGGCCACCCTTCCCCGTCATAGGGAGGGGAACGTGTAGGTTGTTGTCGTGACTGTGCCCACTTCAGCAATGTGACATATCAGCGATACATCATCAGTGCTCCATAATTCCACATCTGTGGCAGAGCTCATCAGGGTTCAGGGGGGTCCCAGTGGTGGGGGGAGGATTTGAGATTTCTCTTTCAAATGTGATATTCAAACTTCTAAACAGTTAAGGATTGTGCACTCTCCATGAAATACACTCGAAAATCTGAAGCCCTTTCAAATTGCAGAAATGAAGCGCAAGGGTGAAAGCCGCTTGTCATTTAAAAAATGCACAGCAGAGCCACAGATTTCTAATATGCCATGATTTAGTTCTAATGTGCCGCAAATATTTATTATGCTGGGCTTTGAAATGCAAAGTAAATTAAGAATTACCAATAATCTATCATTATGCTGATAATTTGTAGCAAGCCATTCACAATGAAGTATAAAAGGGTTTGCTCAACAGTGACTGCAATAGTTTAAAAGATATATCTCGTGAATATTAACAATTATTTAAAAGAAAGTTTGCAAGAGTAAATCGTCAGAGGCTATTTCTCAGGCAGTTCAAAATGAGATGCAAGGCAAAACGCGATATTTTCACTTTTGCTGCCATGTCTACCTAAAGCAATAACATACTTATTTTGGTCTTTATTTTATTGTCGAGTGCCAGCAGTTCTCTACTTCTCATAATAAAAGCTTCGCTGTTGTTCAATATGTTCCATCGGTAAAAAACTCAGACTTGTTTCCAGTGAGATCGTGAACTCCCTGCATGTGTGAGCTTTTGCTTGTTAAAATTTTTTGGAGCTTTGCATGAAGGCGCTTCAGCATGCATATATAACACCACAAGTACTTGCATTGCTGCTTTATGCCGCTGGCTGCATTCTGCCAAAAGCTAGCAACATGGGCAAAAGTTTATTTATTGAGGACATTTTAAAGGGGCAAACTGCAACAAAAGGCACTGAGTCGGCATAACCAGCTTCTCACTAAGGAATTCATTCATTTCGTTATATATATTATGCTTTTGGTTTGAGATGGTTCACACATACAAGAAAAAGTCATGTAGAGATTCACGAGATGAAAGCGGCATGAAAGAAGAGCTAGAAGCCTTTCGCAACTAGATTCAAAAAGTGATATTCATAAAGACCTGATCACTCAATTTGATATGGTATACTGATAAGTTTAATTCAATTATGTCTGCCATGTTCTGGGTCAATCCTACTGAGTAAGTGGGAGTTCAAATTCACTGGAGCATCATTATGACCAGTACTCCATTGGCGCAGCTGCCAGATGTCCCCGAAGACCTTCTTCATAGACAAGAATGGAAATGAAAATAATCTGAAAACCAAGTGTTTCACAAATATATGTTTTAATTTGAGAAAAGGAATGTTATCTGACAAACAATGAAGTCACCTCATCAAGCTCAAATTAGGTCTGGAGCTGCTTAATTTACAAGAATTGTGGAGCACCACAAAGCCAGGCTTCGTCCCGATTCAGTCTGCGGATTGTCAAGAGTGGGCCAACGAAGACTGCATGGATGCTCAAAGAGCTAGCTTCAAACACTTTTCCAGCAAGAACTGAGCTGCTTAAATTTCTACACTGTCTCATACTGCTCATGCTGCATCTAATTTTGCCCCACAGATTGGGGTAAAATGGGACATTTATGGTATTTTTTTTACTTCTTTTTTTTTTCATTACATTTTCAGAAACGTGACCATATGTATTTATGTACCACATATCTTGTACCCTAAAGAATGTTCACTTTATGTTCTTTTCTGGTGCTTACAACAAATAAAAGATTTTTGATTTTAAGATTTAAAACTAAATTTTCAAATTTTGAGTTAAATTTTTTAGGCAAAATGGCCCCCACTGCAAGCTGTGACCCTTCCTTGCGATATTTATGTATTTATGCCACTGAGCTTCTTGCACTTACACAAAATAGGTGCCACAGGGCTTCGCTTTGGAGCCACCGAACATCTCATAATTAGTGAATACTCAAACGTGCAGATGAAAAAAATTGGGCAGCCAGAATGCGCAGGTAACTGTACCTCACATGTGTTGTCACTGAGTGTAGTAAAGGGTCAACAAAGCTGGCAATCAAATGGTACAGTTTGACTGAAGTCATAAAATGTGAAGTGAGGAATGCAAAGACACATAAATTGAAAAGGTCTGCCGAAATTCATTAGCAATGCAAGAAGAAAGCGGCGTGTGTACAATAAGATAAAGGTAAGTGCATTGCTCAGCCTCAGGACAAAAACATATCAGACAAATTAGTTGCAACCTTACAAAACATTAGCAACAAAAGCTAAGAGAGAGCTCCGGCGTCTTAGAACTGTACACTGACTGCCCACCTCACATAAAGTGGATGGAAGCATAATCTCTTAAGAGTTTGAGATAAAGGTTGTTGGTTAAAAAAAGACAGGGAAGACGTCAGTATAGCCATGGTCATCGAAGGGCTTGGTAACTGTAAAACAACCAAGTTCTAATGAAATGACTTAGAATCTGAAATTCTGGCTTGGAAGCTGAAATTCTGGGGGCATTAATATATATGTGTATTAAAGGGACTACTTTACTAAGGTTGCACGGCGGGCTTGTTGGTTATTCATATTGTTCGAGGTATAGCACATCTAGGACGGGACAGAGAAGAGGACACAAAACACATATGTGTTTGTCTATGTGTTTTGTGTCTTCGTCTCTGTCCCGTCCTAAATGCGCTATACCTCGAACAACTATTTTACCACGGGGCAACAATGGAGATAGTCATCAGCAAGTGTGATGACAGAGCATGATGGTCAAAGCAACATTTTCAGGAAAGTTAAATGTTATTGAAAATGAGCTGTAACAATGATTATCTAAACTGAGTTTGGTATACAGAAGAATATTGACTCTAGCGAGTGAACGTCATGTACGGTGGAACGACAACCTTACAATAAAAAAAAAGAGGAAAAACCTACAATCTGGAAAAACGCACAATACGAGTTCTTTAAAACTCCACAAAGTTTCAATCGTTCGATAACTATATCGCAAACGCCGGCGCCGGGAACACACTCGAAACGTCAACGCGTATACTGGGTCCTACAGGTTTGCCAAAAGAACGTAATCACCAGATCATTGATCAGGGTGTCCACCAGAGACGACTTCTGTGCAGGCGCGGCTTCTGCGCACCCCACTGGCTTATTCGTACGACGGCCCAAGTGGCGCCTCTTCTCTTCGCACTTCCCGAACAGATCATCGTTGGTCAGGATTTCGCCCTGAAGCAAGCGGTCGGCAATGTCAAATGCTCTAGGCTGTTCCTGGCACACCGTGTTAGACTCAAGTTGGACGAGTCGCCGCTTGACGGCCCTTTGGGGACGACCGTCAAATCCGGCAACAAGGCGATCTTGACTGCAGACGTCTGCGGCGCGATCACCATCGACGGGTACAACCGGCTTAGCCGCATCTACTTTCAGTTCTCGCAACCACTGCGACCTGAAGCTGTCGAGTTCGGACATTTTCTCGTGCTTACGTCGTCTCCTACATTACAAAATGACTCAGGCAAGCACGTCGCGCTCTGCTTTGTGCAGTTTAATTTTCCCTTGCAGTCAATGCACAAGCACTCGTCACATTAAACATGCGGCTTCCGCTGAACAATTACTTGCAACTGCAGGTAACTGGGTCAATAACCGCAATGCTAGGCTATTTTCACCGTAAACCATGTATACATTGTCTCTGCTGGGGCCGATGAGCGGTCCGCAGAAAGAGCCTAGGAGGCTATGCCACTGAACACCGTCTGCCTCCATGTATCAACACACGGAGGAAAGAAAGCACGGAGGAAGGAAAGTGAAGGAACGTGTATCAACAAGTGTTTTGTTGTACGACGTTCTTGCGAAAATGCGCTAAGCGCAGCCACACAGCATTGTATGGTGCTAGTTGCTCACGCGCTTGCAAAAACATAATGCTCCTTGAAATAGTTATTTGACCAAAAATATTTTTTTGTAAATAATGATGAGCGCTATAACCAAATTTTAGGTAAAGAAAAGTAAGCAGTTTTCTAATCCGAAACTGCATCGCGTGCTGTAGCCTCGCTAGCAGTGATCCGCAAATGGTCCTGTGGTACCGAACATGACCTACTACACTCCTGACCTGCCCAGAGAGCACCTCTTCCAGCGCCCACGTTCTAGTTCATACCTTCTGCCGCTAGGGCCGTAACTTAGGAGCACTGTGGCGCTAGTCAGCACCTGTTCGCTGACGTCAGCTTGAGTGTTCGTGGTCATATTTCGGCCAACAGAGCACTCATATTGCGTAATTATTATGCACTAATGAAAAATAATTTTGAAACAAATATTTCAAAAGTCATTCACAAATTCTTTGCAATTAAATGGACGCAACATCACATATGCTGTCCTACACTATGTAAGTCTACGGATTCTCGCATTTGTCCACCAGTGTGCAATAAATTTTTCGTCACACTGAACAGCTTACTTGACCAGTCATCTAAGTGAAAAAATAGTCACATATATGCCGGCTGTTCATCACGGAATGCAGCCGTTCTTACTCTAGCGCCGTCCAAACAGCCGTAAAGTAGCAGACGAACAGGTTATAGGTAGCGCCACCTACGGCGAGCGATTGAACGAGAGCGGGGACACGCGCTCCCATAGGAACCCCGCTATCTGAACAGGTCAGGAGTGTAGTAGGTCATGGTACCGAAAAGGTTGTGTAGTTTGTACGTGCTTATATTTGTAAATAAAACTCATATGGGCGTGATTGTCGCTGGCTGAAGGCAATAGAAAGCTCGGTCCGCGAAAGAGAAGTGGACGCTACAGTTTGTGCCGGACTTCGAAGGGCTGCGAAAGCTCCGGCGACCCGGGAAGGAGAGCGAGGGAGAGCTCTCACAGGAGATTCGCAAGATGACGATCCCGAAGGTGATGCGGACGACAGTTTTGGGTTTCGCCAAAAGGTAAACAACCCGTGCGTCCACTTTCCTGCGCTCGCTACGAAGCTTCAATTTGAGGAGCGATGCGTGTCAGAGACTCGCGCGATCGGGCGTGCTCGCGGAAAGTTGGTTTCGCGTTGCATACTCGATCAACACCGCCCGGCGACGACTTTCATGACACCTTCCAGTGTAGGCCTTCGAGGCGTGGCAAAAAAACCGCAAAAACTGCGCCGTCGCTGGCCGAGTGAATGTACTCTTATTCATATGATTAATATGGACGTACTAATATTGGAAAGCCTTGTTCTATGAAAGACCGCAACTGACCTCTGCGGCGTGCGCCCAAGTTTTGGCGCGTCTTATCCTCGCCCGAAATATGAACATCTGGTGTAACCGTGTGCGTTTTATTCCTAAGCGAGGCCATCTTTACGGCGCGTAAGTAGTGACAAGCTCACTTTTAATACATTCTTTTTCAATGCAATGATGCGCGCTGTCGAGGGAAAGGTCGGCTGAAGTGCAGAGCGCTGGTGGAATACGATACCGGTAGTGCAGCGTGTGCTTGGTTTACTGTCGGCTGTGTAGCCGGCACGTTGTCGACTCCGTCGCAGTATTCTGTTGTGTATTTATATGTTTTGTGGGTTACATGCATATTATTCTTGCGGCGGCGAGTAGCGACATTATTCTAAGCATTTGTACGGGCACTAGCGCCCAGTTAATGTTGTAGCTTCACAGTAGTCACAAACAGATGGAGTAAAATGCAGTTATTCTATTGTTTTGTTTCAGATGCCTGAGGGGACCTGCGAATTTACAGACACAGCTTGTGGTATGCGCATCTTTAGCCGATCACTGTGTATGTTTGTGAGAAAACGCGGTGAATGGTTATATAACATGTTAGCTTGACTATCACTAACTGTACACGTTGGTGAGGTATGCACCACTGTTGGGGATAATTGTGTGTAACTTGTAAGCTTTAATAATTGAAACGGCATTTATAGCAATACACTATGAGGCTAGCATGCACCTAATTGCAGTAATATTTTTTTGCAAAGTTATATTTATCTCAGGTAATGCTTCAATTTGGTGCATGTTATCAACAAGAAACAAACATGGTGCAAAAATGGTGCACATGCGTGTGTATTCCAAGCTTATCTCTTCTTGTAAAGTGGTCACCTTCAAGGATGGGGGCACGCAAATGTGGCCATCAGGTAGCCTTGCCAACCACACAGGTGGTGCAGCAGTGCAATGAGATGCGAAATTCAAAAAAGAGCTGCACACAACCGCTTTGTTTTCTCACTGTCGAAGCATATGCTTACCTCATTGTAGTCTTTCTTTCGGCACGTGCCAACCAGAACTTTGGATTTTTGCATGAGCTAACAGTGTTTAACCTGACTTCAGAAAAATTACCAGTATGCATTGCAGGTTGGCTTGTCACATTCTACTAGTTTGTCTTCACTTGCGTGCAGTTTATTAAAGCGGCCTTGCTACACTTTGTCAGCATTTCCAAAAAAAAAAAAAGCTGCCAATTCGTAGTCGAGGCTCCTGAAAACATGCGAGCCAAACCTAGTAGTGCAGCATGCAGCTTGGAATTCACAATTCATTGTCAAAGCCAGTTAGAAATCGTTCCCCCTTCCCCCTCTCTCTCTTTTTTTTTTTTTTTCAAGATGACGCAGTATACATGGCCATTTTTTTATTTGAGCATTGTGGGCTGCATAGTTGCTATGGCCACCGCAAGCCCACTCCCACAATTATGTGGAACGTAAGTTGTGTGTTTGAAGGAAGGGAGAGAAGAAAGTGCTCAAGGTCATGATGAGCATGGGACCTAACTTCTTTTCTCTACACCATCCCTCCCTGCTTAGCTTCTAGTGCATTTGTCGAGACAAAAGAAGGCAATTACCACATGCTACAAATCTCGAACTGGGCTAAAATGTTTATTTGGGCCTGTTGGTACATGATCAACTAAATGAAAAAACAGCGCATAACACAGCACACAGACAGGACGTCTCTTTCTTGTATATCTCTCTTGTATTACGCGCTGTTTTTTCACTTCATTGAACAAATCTCTTACTTCGCTCGTACTTGACAAAGTTTGTCCAATAATTCACACTAAAGCTGCCGTCAAAGATGTCCAGGTTCTTCTTCTTGCTGCCTTCTCTAACCAACTCTCTTGGATCACTGAAAGATTCTAGGAACTTTTATGCCATTCGATTCGTGAGACTCCTTCAGAGAAGTCATTGGACGAGAAAAACATTGCGGAGCCCCTTTAATGCAAAAAAAAAAAGGAGTTGTCAAATACAGTAAAAGAAATAGCCACTTTTTAGTTTTCCCACATCGCAATGATATTTTAGGCCACCCTATTCCCTTTTATGAAGTTAAGGGTTGTAAACTATTCCACCTGGTTCCACAGAGGGCAATGTCAACAGCGGAGTCCACCGATGTGCTATTGGAGAAGGTTGGCAACAAAGGTGTCATTACCTTGAACAGGCCAAAGGCACTCAACGCACTCTCTCTCGAAATGATTCGCCAGATCTATCCCGTCCTCAAGGTGAGCACCCTTTTTTTCCTCTTCAGTTTCTCTTATTGGTTGTGTGGAACAGCTAGTATAAGTCTTTTTGTACCACGCCAATTTAAATTTAAAAAAAAAATAATTCATCACAAGGTATTTTAATAGCTTCATCAGCTTTATTTGTGGTGGTGAGCTCTGTTGTATGAGAAACTATTGTCATTTTAGCTAGAAACAATAAATGTAATTATAGTAATTCGTCCCTGCTTTTCTTTGCTGAGTTGTGAACCGCAAAATCTATTCTAGCATGTTAAAAATATTACATATGGTTTTCTGTTGGGTCCCACAGGGCCCAACATGGACGAAACTGAGCTTACCAAAAAAAAAAGGTGTTTCAGGCTTTGTAGGGCTAATTTAATTAACTGCGTTTAAAGACGCCTCTTTAACCAGAACCAAGCGTACACAAGCGATAAAAATGAGACAACATTTGCTCTACCACTGCAGCACTTTTTACTATCACCCACTTATATGTAACGATTTGCTCTTGTCATAGCAATCCTCACATTAATGGCTTTTTCAGAAGAATGACTATCTCGAAAATCCCCCTCCTATTGTCCAGTTATGCTACATTGAAAATGATTAAGTCAGTGTAAAGCTACTATTTCATTCACATATGTTACAACATTCCATAACTTTGGTTCTAATGGCTTTAGGATATCCATTCTTGTTGCGCTGCACAAAGTTTTGATTCCAGATTATTAGAATAAGCTGATTTACTTTGTAACTCTCTCAATTAAGAAAAAAAAACTTGCTCCCCAAGATTCACATGAAATATTTTTGTATTTTAAAACTATGCACTATATTACAAAACTAACTGCATATATTGCATCAACACACGGATATTCATAAACTCCTCATGTTTCATTAATATCGATAAACATATGAAAAGATTCTGTTGAGTATCGTAAGAAAGAACACATGGTTTCTTTTTGCACATGGAGGCCTCGTTAATTAGGTTTAGCAAGCTGAAAAAAGGGCTTTGTAGGTGAAGGTCTACGCTTGACTAGAAGAACTACTAGTCAGGTGGGCTCAAGGGAAGTCCAGTTTACTGGCATGCTCATTCCTTTAAATTATTTTTAAAAAAGTAGGAATCAGTTGAGTAGAGTTGTATTGCTTTGATCCTGCGATTGGTACAGCTGATGCGTGTGAATTCAGCAATAAGTGTAATGGGTGGCACATGTGTTGATTTATATATTTATTAAATTATTTTGTGAACTACTGCAGAATATCTGGCTTTTCTGTTATGCACTGCTGGGGAATATTCATCGATGTGCAGAATGTCTGTTCTTATGGGAGTCACAAAGTGGCAGCTGAATGATATTAACAAGAAAACAAGAGGGCGGGGTTAACATTGCTTGGCCAATGCTAAGCTTCGTTTGGTGAACCCCACCGAGTGTGTGTCCACATAGCCTTCATTGTTCCTGCTGCGTACATTTATAGAGCTTAGAGGAATACATTTGCTATTTTTCGTGAGGCAAAACTGGAGCACCGACCAGCTTTCGCTTCTGTTTGACATGACTTTGGGGGACCATATCTTGGTGCTAAAGTCAAGATTAACTTATGAGACATTTAAACGCACTTCAAAGCTGCTAGAATTATCGATGCAGAGTCACTTCTGCAACAAAAGGGACAACATAGTTTGATGAGCTCCACTGTAGTAAACAGTTTTAGAATGAATTCTAGAAGGGGAGGTTTGTATGAGACTTTTAAACGCACTTCAAAGCTGCTAGAATTATCGATGCAGAGTCACTTCTGCAACAAAAGGGACAACATAGTTTCATGAGCGCCAGTGTAGTAAACATGTAAGAATAGCAGACTGGGCTTGTTGGTTTAACATATTTGCAGCTTAAGGCGCGAAAACGACACGGACGAAGAGAGACAGTACACACACACGGAGCGCCACTTCCAACAAAGATTTATTTCGAAAGAGCACAGAACATATATAGACACCGCGCGCGCCGTCACCGTGCCTTAATGCGCAGCCGCATTTAAGTAGCGTAACTCCTTTGGCGATAAAGAAATGGAGGCTACGCTGACACACTGATCACCTAATTCGATTATTCTCTTGGCCTCAATGATTAGTCTTACTGATTTATCAGGGCTTCGGGCGACTACCGCGCAGGCGCTAAAGTTAGGAACGCAATGACAATCCCGGCAGTGAATTGCGAGGTGGCCCTCTCTGCCATTTCTGACGTTGTTATTATGCTGTCTAGCCTATCATTCAGGCATTGCTCGGTATGGCCTACGTACCATCTACCACACGAACAGGGGAACTCGTAGACCACACCCTTCTGACAAATTACATACTTGTTCTGGTGGTTCACATTGCAGGCCGGAGCTTTCCTGAGAAAGGGGTTAGTCAACTTGCAGAGCCTGGAAAGTTTTAACGGCGCAGAGAAGACCACCTTTACATCAACCTGTTCGGCAATCTTTTTCAGATTATGGGATACGCGGTGTATATAAGGAATCACAGCAAGCTTAACATTATCCTGGGGTGACCCTTCGCCTGTGTGGCAGTTCCGCGACTTCTTCAAAATCTTCTCCGCCACTGACACCAAAGTGTGCTGTGGATAGCCCGCCTGCTCAAGACGGTCAACCTGCTTGAGGAAACTGTCTGCTGCTCTGTGTGGGCAGGATTTCTTGAAAGCATTCAGCAGGCACATGTTGGCTATGCTACGTTTGACAAGCTTAGAATGGGACGAGCTAAAAGGTAGTAATGGTTTTGTTAGCACGAGGCTCATACTGCCAACATGTATGATCAGTTGTTACAAACAATCTAAGATCTAAAAACCTCGACCGAATCGACCGAAAGTTCGTGACACACGAACTTTCGGTCGATTCGACTATAAGGTTTTTAGATCTTAGATTGTAAATTAGGGAGGCTATCACCGGGCTAATTCCCAAGGGCCGAAGTATCGGCCCCCCGAACCGCACCACGAAAGCGTGGACAATTTAGAAGTGGTCCTTTCTGGGGCGCCAGCGGACGCCGGTAGTGGCCCAAAGAACAAGTCAGAGCCGAGAGTTGATAAACAAACAAAATTATATTCTCAATAATGGCAGATTGAAAACAACACACAAGAATGCACACTTCACAATAGTTGAATACAATATGTCACCCACCAAACAACGTGCTACACAGTACAATCAGCCACACTCGAAACAACGGACACAGACAACAATACGCACTACAATGCAGTCGCATGCATTGAACAACCAAGACACTTAAAGACTAAAGAGATAGAAGACCTATTCAGTCCAAAGTTCTTGGAACAAAAGTCTGAATGATACTCTTCCGAGAATCACTCACTCGAAGTCCAGCGTTGTTGTCGTTCCGCAAGCCCCGAAGTTTCTCTTCTAGGAAACCTCGCCGAAGTTTCTCCTCCAGGAAACCTCACGTCTTCAATAGGCCACTCTCCAAGCTTCAAACTTCTTCGCCGGAAACACGTCGGCTTCACACACGCAGCTGTTGCCAAGCGTCTTCGCTCGATAGCGGTAAACACACACTCTTGCCTGCAGCTCGAGTCGTCACCCCTCAGGTGGAAATCATCTTCTTCTCCTGCTTTGTCTCTACGGACAAAACCTTCGCCGACTACACGGCGGAATACCCTACGCGCTCTGGCGCTAACTTCTGTCTTCTCCTCCGAAGTTTCTCTTCCAGGAAACCTCGCGTCTTCTCCTGCTTTGTCCTTACGAACAAAACCTTCGCCGACTACACGGCGGGATACCCTACGCGCTCTGGCGCTAACTTCCGTCTTCTCCTGATCTCTCATCTTCGCTGCTCGGTTAAATACCTTCCGCGCGACATTCCAGAAAGTTCTTCTCATTTCGTCGGCGCGATGCGCAGCGAAGGCTGGGGGATAGCGCGAGACTGTACGAGGGCCGTCCTCGACAGATGACTCAACCCGGCATAACACGCCCCTTTCCTTCTAGAAATTTCCAGTGCTTGCTCGGCCGCCAATGTGGGGTGAGGAGGTTCGTCGGCGAAACCACGCTTCCGAGAGGAGAGGCTCGTGCGCCCGGGGAGCCTTTAGATGTTTGTTTTCTTTTTCTTTCTTTTTCGTTGACCTCGCGGCGTCACTCCGGCGGTTCGTCGCGAGAATTTGGCGGCGCACTCATTTTTAGCGCTCGTTCTGTGACACTCTGCGCATCAATGCTGCTAAGGCCACTGCTGCACGGAGTGCTGCATGGGACAGCTGCTGCCGTTGCAAATTACCCGAAGGAACCTTAAAGCTCAACAGTGTAGCATCAATCCCCCCCCCCTTTTTTTTGGCGTTCACGTGGTCTTTATTGCATATGTATCGTACATATTTTAGCAGTGAGGAAAGAGAATGTCCTATAAAATGACGAAAATAGCTTAACCTTCTTGCTTCACTCCTGACTGCAACCTTGGGTGACGGTAGGGGTCTGTAAGTGTTCTAAAAGCTCAAATAACGAATCAAATGGTGTTTTATTCAAATAATTTGTCGTGAATTGAATAACACATATTTGAAATGCCGAGTATTTTTTTTAATATTGAGCACTGGCAAAAAACCTCTGAGGAGGAAGGCTTATTAGAACGAGACATCACTTATTTGTTTTAAATGGTGGATTATCAAGATGCATGCATGCAGAGCAACTTTTTAAGGAACTATTAATGTCGTACTGATCGCAAATGAAGGTGCTTATATTTAAAGCTTAATGGTCGCCAAGCAATGGTGTCATCTTCAATCTGCTATGCATGAAATTCGTGATGTTGATTCAGCAAACATATTGTTGATTTTTATGCCTAACTTTTATTTAAAAGCTGGCGACAAAATACCCCCATCAATAATAAACTAACCGCTCTATTTCAACAAACACTTAAAAATTTTTCATTGGCTTTCACTGTCTATACGAGTTTACCCCAGTTAAGCTAATAATTGCATTTTTAATGGTTAAAATTAGTTGTAATGAGCCTTTTGTTAATATTTCTTACTGTTAATTCCACATTTCAATATTGTTGA